GCAGTGAATAACCAGGAATAGCCAGATGGTGGGGGCAGAAATGCCACGTGCTTCTAGCCAGCAGAGCGGGGACATTGTGGGGGGCGGGCTGGTGTGGGGCCGGCCCAGGACAGCGTCCCTGCCCCACGTCCCCCATCACAGGGCTGCGGGTGGTGTCCAGAGGAGAGGTGACAGGTCACCCCAGACATGACAGCCTGCAGTGAAACCACAGGGGATGCAGGACCGTGGGGGTGCCCCCCACCTCGGGGGTCTGTGGCTGCTGGCTTGTTTATTACTTCTGTTATCTGTGTTTCTCTCCTCACTTTAGAAAAATACAAAACCGTACGAAATGGTTTACCAAACCTCCAACACCCACCCTCCGACTTCAAAGTGAACACGCGGACAACCTCTGCCACCTATCCCGCTGCCATCTACTCCACCCGATGGCTCTGAGAAATCCCAGACGTGTCACTTCATTTATAAATATTTTAGCATTTGTTTCTAAAAGCTAGAGCTCTGGTTAGAAATAACTACAATGCCATCATCACACGTAAAAGAAGCAATATCACCAAATATCCAACACCATGAACTTATCTTTTAAAGCTAATTTATTCAAATCAGGATCCAAATTGACACCAATATTTTTTTCTCTACCTCGTGCACCAGCATGGATGCCTAAGAGTTATAATTACTTTTAAAAATCAAGTCAAAATTCTGTGACTACTGATGAAAAAGTAAATAATGCGCCTCTAGACGGATCACAGTCCCCGAGGGGCCGTCCACGTGCGTGTGGGCTGTGGCGTCCCTCGGGAGCCTGCTCTGCGGAGGCACAGGCAGAGCTTGAGGCCCTGGCCTGGGACCTCCCCGCGCCACGCTCTCAGGGCCACGCCACGGCTCTGTCATCATTTACTGAAAGACAATCACGTTTCCGGATGTGGGCTCTTAATGCCTAACATGATATGCGGCACCTCTGAACATTTATTTTTAAAATCAAAAAAGAAACGAAGATTACTATGGCATAAACTACACCACACCCAAGCCTCCTTCCGAGGTCTGACCCGAGGCCAGGGACACGCGGCCGAGCTGCGGCGAGGGGCACTCACCTGGTCGGTCTGTCACAGCAGAGAGACGCTGACGCTGAGGCACCTCCCGGAGCCTGCAAATGACAAGACACGGTCACTCTGCAGCCCCCTGCGCTGCCAGTCCCCACATCGCAAACCCCGAGGAAGAAGGGTGACAGCTGTCCCGCGGTTTGATCGTAAATGGACAGTCACACCTGGTAGCTGCTGGCTCATCTTATCACCTGTGAGGGTGTCCGGCCCCAGGATTTCAGGCCCAGGAGCCACAATTCCCTGAACCACCAGCGGGACGGGTTCCACGCGGGCCAGGGAGACGGCCCGGGCGGCCAGGCCCCGGCCGTTCAGTGCTGCGCCTCACACAGGAGGGGCTCCGCCGACACTGGCAGTTGTTACCATCGTTACTGTCAGATTTACTTGAGAAAACCAATTACGACTTTGAGAGAATTCTATGTCTACTCCTTTTTTCAAAGCCTACCCAACAGGAAGAAAAGCTTCAGGTCATCATTCCTTCCGTTTGCACAACTCTTCTGCGTGCACGTGCACGTGTGTGCTACACGCTAGGGCTGCAGAGAAGCTATTTCAGGAGCTGCTCCCAGCAGCCTTAGGAGTGGGAAACCGAGGCTCGGCGAGCTGCACGGTGCTGTCAGGACAGCGGGGGGGGGCCGCGATGCCCCCGCCGCCCCCCCAAACGCCCTCCCTCCTCGGACCCTGCAGTGTGGACCAGCCTGGGCACTGGTTTCTGGAATGTTCTATTACATTTTGTTTCCTTCCCTTCCCACTTAGAACACTGCTTATCCTGCGACTGGAGGGAGAAAGCACCCTGCCTCCTGGGTCAGCTCAGATGGACTCTCAGCTCCCGGGGCGGCAGCCAGGCCTCCCCCGGACACAGAAGGGCACTTCCTGTCACCGAATTCAGGGAGATAGATACACAGATACATAGACACACATAGATACATATGTAGACAGACGACAGATACACAGTTACGCAGACAGGTACATAAACAGATACATAGATAGATGAGATCTAGAGTCACCGATGTGTAGGAAGTAGATAAAGATAGATAGTTAAACAAANTGTATGGAATCACCAAAAAAACCTTGACTAGACAAAGCAATCTTCAGAAAGAATAAAGCTGGAGGCAATATGCTCCCTGATTTTAAACTATATTACACAGCTATAGTGATTAAGACAGAATGGTACTGGCATAAAATAGTCACACAGATCAACAGAACCAAATAAAGAGCCCAGAAATAAATCGACGCCTCTATGGTCAATTCATTTATGACATAGGAGCCAAGAATATACAATGGGGAAGGGACAGTCCCTTCAATAAATAGTGTTGGGAAAATTGGGTAGATACATGCAAAAGAATAAAAACGGACCACTATCTTACACCATGCAAACAAATTAACCCAAAATGGATCAAAGACTTGAATGTAAGATCTGAAACCATAAAACTCCGAGAAGCAGACATAGGGGAGCCCTCGTGAACTATTGGTGGGGTTGTAAGTTGGTGCAGCCTCTATGGAAAACACTACGGAGAGTCCTCAAAAAACTAACAATAGAACTACCATACGACCCAACGATTCCACTTCTGAATATTTATCCAAAAAATAAAATAAAATAAAACACTAAC